TGATTTCTTGAAGTGAGGTCAGGCTTTGCAGGAAGAACACAGAGCTGTGGTTTATTTATGCAGGGGAAAGACATGAAGGGCCGAAACTCAATTGGAGTTGAAACTGGCCAGTGTTGTTTCAGATAACAAGAAGGTATTTTTTAAGTATATTAATAGCAAGAGGAGGTCTAAAGAAAACATTGGGCTGGTTCTTCTTGGAGACGGTCATCTGACTAAGAGAGATGAAGAAAAAGCAGAGGCATTCAATGTTTTTTTTTGCCTCAGTCAGACCTTGGGCTACTCAATTGTCTGAGTTGGAGGACCACAAGTGCAGGAACAGTGACTTTACATTTGTGGTCACTGAAATTGTAAGGGATCAGTTGTATTGGCTGAATATTCACAAGTCCATAGGGACTGATAGGATTCATCCCACAGGTCTGAAGGAGCTAGCAGATGTTATGGCAGGATCCCCCTCTATCATCTACCAAAGGTCTAGGGAGCCTGGGGAGGTCCATGATGACTGGAAGCTAGACAGAGACCTTGGGCTACTCAGTCATCTGAGTTGGAGGACCACAAGTGCAGGAACAGTGACTTTACATTTGTGGTCACTGAAAGTGTAAGGGACCAGTTGTATTGGCTGAATATTCACAAGTCCATAGGGACTGATAGGATTCATCCCACAGGTCTGAAGGAGCTAGCAGATGTTATGGCAGGATCCCCCTCTATCATCTACCAAAGGTCTAGGGAGCCTGGGGAGGTCCATGATGACTGGAAGCTAGACAGTGTTATTCAAATTTACAACAAGGGACCCAGAGAACTACAGACCTGTTAGTTTAACCTCAGTTCCAGGAAAAATTATGGAGAAGATTATACTGGGTACTGCTGAAAGGCATTTAAAGAATAATGCAATCATCAGGCACAGCCATCATGGGTTAACAAAGGGAAAGTCCTGTATAGCTAATTTGATATCTTTCTATGATAAAGTCACCCACCTTGTGGTTGGAGGGAAGATGGTGCATGTAGTTTTTCTGGATTTTAGTAAGGTTTTTGATACTTGTCCTTCACAGTATCCTTCTGGGCAGGTTGTCCAACTGTGGGATGAGTGAGTCCATGGTGTGCTGGGTGAAGAGGCCAAGAGGCAAACCACATCCTGGGGTGCATCTAACACAGTGTAACCAGATGGCCAAGAGAAGGGATTATCCTGCTGTGCTTTGGTGTGGCCTCTCCTGCAGTGCTGTGTGCAGTTCCACAACTGAAGAAGGATGTGAAGGTCCTTCAATGCTTCCAGAGGAGGGCAACAAAGCTGGGGAAAGGGCTGGAAGGAACGTCCTATGAGGAGCGGCTAACGACCTTGGGTTTGTCTAGTTTGGAGAAAAGGAGCCCGAGGGGTGACCTCATTGCTCTCGACAGCTTCCTGAGGTGGGGAAGTGGAGAGGGAGGTGCTGAGCTCTTCTCCCTGGTATCCAGGGACAGGATGTGTGGGAACAGCTCAAAGCTGCATCAGGGGAGGTTTAGAGTGGACATTAGGAAGCATTTCATTACTGAGAGGATGGTCAAACGTGCGTACAGGCTTCCTAGAGAGGGTGATGCCCCAAGCCTGACAGTGTTTGAGGCATTTGGACAATCCCTTAACTATATGATTTAGCTGTCTGTCCACCCCAGACTGGTCAGGCAGTTGGACTTGATGATGGCTGTACATCCCTTCCAACTGAAATAGTCTATTCTATTCTGTTCTAGATGCCAGCCTAGCTCTCTCATCTTGCCTTTCCTTCCCAAATTGTGCTACATATATTACATGTCTGTACAGCAGGCCTTCCACCTAACTTCCGTGGTTGGTCCTTAGGTAGCTCCCTGTCCCCTCCATCTCTCTGTATCTTTCCAGGCACAGGGAAGTTGCAGCAGCAAGTTCTTCCTTCACCTATTGCAGGGCAGTCCCTGGTTTAATACCTCCTAATGGACTGCAATGCACAGAGGGAGGTTCCGACCAGAACCTTGTACCAGAGGTCTGCATGCAAATCGCTATTTAAAATTGGTAATTGTACGTGTATAGGAATTTAGAAATGCAGTTATAATTTGTTTCATACAACTAAGCGAGCTGCTTCCATCAAGAGTATGTGTTGCAGCTCAAACGTCCAATCTTCTTCCTGCTTCATTAGAAACATGATGACTAAGAGGAGGAGTAGCCCAGCTGCTTTTAAAATATTTTTTTCGCAACTCAGTGAAGAAAAAACTTTGCACTCTGTTCATCGATATTTCTGTGCTTAAGAGCAAGTTTTGGTTATTAAGGGCTATGCTGCAAACCAGAAGGAGAAACAGTGGCTGCAGAAATTTGTGATGACAAAGGGCATTTTTCTCAAGACGTTTTGCACAGCTCGGAAGACTGGAAATTACAGTACTTGGTAGTAATTTCCATTCCTTTTTCAATATTGTCTTTGCAAATACATGAGCTGGTATTTAGGAGAACTGAATAATACTCATCCCACAGTGTATACGGCTGCTGATCCTGGAGCCAGACACTGAGCTAATAACAGTTCAAAGTTACTCAACGATAATATATAAAAAAGTGGATTATCTGATTGTAATTCTGTAGCCTGAAGTCTTCATCTCTTTCTATCCCTTTCATCTGTCTTGTTTTTTGCAACGTATTGTAAAGCTGTGGTTCATGATGTATTGGCAGTGAATGCTGAAAGGAACATTAATTTTAACTCATAACAGAAAATTCAAAGATAATGAAACCATTACTCTCTTTCTTTTTTGTCACTATATTCTCTCTGTTAAGATTTTTTTCAAACTATAGTTCATTTTTTTACCTCCCACTTTTATGCTTACCTCGGAGAAGATGTACAATCTTAGGGAAGTAGGTAGCCAACCATATTAATATATTTATATAATGGGATAATTTGTCATTATTTGTTTGTGAGGCAATGGGACATATCATACCTTATTACTTGTTCACTACTGGGAGTGCAGAAAAGGACGATGATGAATGGCGTAGGACTGAGAGAGAAACACAGGGCAAGATCAAGGACACAAAGTTGGTAACGGGCTTCAGTACTCTGTCGGAGTGGGGTGTGCTTTAGGCACGGTGCTAATTGGGAGTGTGTTTTTGCGTGGTCATAATGAGAGCTGTTGGGACACATCTCTGTTCGTTACCACTTCAGAGTGTACCCTGGAAATCAGCTGGGCTGGAGTCTAGGCAGGAAAATGGAAATAACCCAGCGTGGTCAGCTGTGCCCTCTGCTATTTCAACCAGCCCCAAACCTTTTATAAATAATGTTTTGAAGGGCTGTGTTTCAAGAAAAGAGGGCTATAAAATGATATATTTTTCTGCATAGTCTTGGCTCCATAGCTTTATAAAGAAAAGAAAGAAAATAAAAGGAAAAGGTGGAGTTATCTTGACACAACTTTACATATAAAGAAAAGAAAGAAAATTAAAAGGTGGAGTTATCTTGACACAACTTTACCAATCACTGTATTTTTCATACAGGGTTATTATTTTTTTTTATCTTTTAAGTTAAAAATATGTAAGAGTATTCTATGATTCTATGGCAAGCTAGTCTGTATTAAAATCAAACTACTGAAGGTCACTGCATGTAAGATCAGTGTTTTACGCTGATGCACATTTACTGATACCTTTAACTTTTTGATGTGATTGGATAAAGATCTCTTGATAAATAATACTTAGTGTAGAGAAGAAACATGAGTAGAAATGCAGTATAAAATCTATAAGCAGCAGTCCAAAAACAGATAAAATATGGAATAGCTGTCAAGCTAGATATATTGAGTTAGCCAGGAATATAAGCTTTTGACTCAGGATTAATTAACATTTCTAAATACATTTTAGTCTTCAGAGACCAGCATAGAGAAGACGATTTGCAAACACTTGCTGTGCCTACCTGCTAAGGATAGGGTAGTTAATTAGAATCATAGAATCATAGGATTTTCTTCATTGGAAGGGACCTTTCAGATCACCCAGTCCAGTAGGGTAGTTAATTAGAATCATACAATCATAGAATTTTCTAGGTTGGAAGGGACCTTTCAGATCACCCAGTCCAACAACCATGTCTCTAAGCCCCCCGTCTACCCATCTTTTCAATACCTCCAGGGATGGGGCCTCAACCCCTTCCCTGGGCAGCCCATTCCAAGGCTTAATAACCCTTTCAGTGTAAAACTTTTTCCTAATCTCCAATCTGAACCTCCCCTGGTGCAACTTGAGGCCATTTCCTCTTGTCCCATCGCCTGTTCCTTGGGAGAAGAGACCGACCCCCCCTGGCTACACCCTCCTTTCAGGGAGTTGGAGAGAGCGAGAAGGTCTCCCCTCAGCGTCTGTTTCTCCAAGCTGAACAACCTTTTTTTTTGTTTGTTACTGTGCTGTAATTCTGAGATAAACTGTTTATCCCAAAACCTGTTGGCTGGTGGTGTCTGTTACCATGTCTGGAACTTATTGCACAGTGGGGATGTCTTCAGCCCTTCCAATGCTGTATATGTTATTGAATGTATTTCATGGCCCCAGCAAAATGCACAGTTAAAACTGGATGAGGAGACCATAAAAAGCTGAGAGGAGATGTTCAAGTAGTCAAAGATGGACATTATTTATGAATATCACTTCTTGTCAGATGTTTTGAAAGGCACCATGCTCAGACACCCAGGGGTAAGAAATTCAAAGGTCAGTTCTCTTAGCAGGATAATCTCTTCGTATGTTTTATTTTCTCTATCTGAGTTTTAAGTAAATATTGCTGTGTACTTCTATTTGTAACAATGTTATTTAGAATCCAGAAGGTGGCAGTAGTTGCCAATAATTAATTTGTAAAATAAGCCTATTTTCAAAAGCTGAAAAATAAAGAGATTACACTCAGAGGAAAGCCAAACGATATCTGCATGTGTGTAAAATATTACAACATATCAAATTGTTAGCAATAGTTATTAGTTTTCAAGTTGCTAAATGGGCTATTAAAGAGAACTTGCAAATACATAAGTTAAAGAATTTGCCCTAACACTGAATTTATTTTTTTTTAATCCAGCTATTAATATTAGCCAGCCGAGTTTCAGTGGCACAGATGTCTTTGGCTATACCTCATTCCTAGCTTACTCTACAATCCCAAATATCACCTTCTACTATGAATTCCGCTTGAAATTTCAGCTGGCAAACCACCATTCAGCTTTGCAAGATAACCTGATTTTTTTCACTGGACAGAAGGGCCAAGGTAAGCTTTATTTTTATTACCCATCCTTACAGGCTTTCAAATACTCATCAAACAAATAGGATAAAAATACACACAGCTTTTTCTTGATTCTTTTTAGGATGTAATTTCAGTAGGAGGAGATTAATCTCTTTGATACTTTCTTGTTCTGTAAACACACAGTAAACCATGAGGTTGACCATGGACGCCCACCCCCATGCACTGCTTGGTGATGGGCAGGAAGAGGAGTCCAGAGTGAAGTTGGGCCTTAACGTATGTTAAGCTTACATAAATAGTTTTTTGGTATTTATTTTATAAGTGGGAGTACTAAAGTAAAAGCAAAAGCAAATCCAGCTGTATCGCTTGCCCTGCGAATATCCAGATCGCAGTACTGCACAAGTGTGGCAGCTTTTGTCTCCTGTTTCCAAAATAAGGTTTTTCAAATTTTAGATCAATTCAGGCTGAATACGTGCTAACTACCATTGCTTTCAGACTGGAAAAAGCAAATCTGTTCTTTCCAAAAACTTGCAAGTATAATTCTTTACTTGCAAAAGAAGAGGCGGTAAATATGTATATGTATAAATATGGATGTGCTCATTATCAGGCAGAAAAAAAGAGGAGAAAACCTGTGTTATTCACTTGACTAGACATAAATTATTTTCAGGAGATAGAAAAATAGTGAATATAAAAGGTCTTCAGAATTAACAACACTGAAACACTGACGGTTTCAAGGAGCACCCCTCTAAAAAGAGGAGAGTGCTGCTGGGTGTGCTGTTTGCAGCTCAAGCAGCAACACATTTGCTCTCAGCGTAAATTATTTTTAAGGAATGTTTACTGTAGCCCTACATTAAAGGACACTTAAAACAGGTACGTATGAAAGTGTGCTTTTTCAACAGCTGCAGGGTTTATATTTAAGAGAGCCAAAAATAGTTTAAAACAGGCAAGTCCAAGTTTCATTTGCTGCCCTCTTGCAATGAAAAGGTACTGCGCTTGTTCCCTCCCCCGGAAAATACATTTCTTCTGAAGGACTTCTGCCAATGAAAGCATGTGTAGTCTTAAATGTAAAGAAATTATTTACTACATATTTACAAATAAATTAGTTCTAAACTGAATGTTTAAGAAGACTTCCGAGAATTTAAGGTGTTCTGACGAGAAACTTCGGTAACATATACTCCAGAGCTAATAACAGGTACAAAAGCAGAAAAACCAGGACATTTTCCCTCCCCAAACTCCATCTATTAGTGTATGCTCTACAAAATAGCCACCGCTGATTTTCATAGCTGAGATATTTCACTCACTTAACTTACAGCCTTTGAAAGCATAAAATATTAAAACATTTGGGATCTGGTTCTATTCGCAATTATATTAGTGCAAGAAAAACTAAAAGGCAATAAAATTACGCCACTGTAAGCCTAATAGAATCATAGACTCATAGAATGGTTAGAGTTGGAAGGGACCTTAAAGATCATGGAGTTCCAACCCCTCCTGCCCTGGGCAGGGACACCTCCCACCAGACCAGGTTGCTCCAAGCCCCATCCAGCCTGGCCTTGAACCCCTCCAGGGATGGGGCAGCCACACGTAGGTAGGGATGCACAGGCAGGAATCAACCTAATGTGTAGGTAGGAATCAACCATTTTTGAATCCCTAAAGAAGTGGATGAGAAATCAGCCAATAGCATGTGAATTCAAGATGATGACCTTATTTCTTTGAAACCTACTCAAGGGTCTGTTTTTCTTTCCGTTCTTGGTACGGAGAAGGAGTAAGACAAAAGAATCAAAACAGTTAAAAGGTGTCTCTCTTAGGCAGGCTGTTAATTAACATTATCTTCACCATCAGGTCGATTTTGTAGAATGCTGACACTGTTGCATTTCTTTTATGTACTTCACTTCCAAGAAAGCATTTTAAAAATTGAGACAGCATTTTTGTCACTGGCAGGACTGGTTTGGGTAATAGTTTTCATGCTGAAAGCTTCTTTCTGATGAAATCATGAAATCTGGTTTTTTTTTCCTGATATCGTGATCTAGGTCTCTAGAGAGAACCTAAGTAATTCCTGTTAGGAATATATCAGCTAACTGATAATAATTATATGTTATATATATATAATAATATATCTAACAGAAAAAAATTCCTACCTTAAAACTGATAATTGAAGCTCTGTAGAAATCTTAATTCAACTTCTACTGGCAATCACCCCACTAACATTTCTGGTACTGGGTTTTAGGGCTGGTTGTTCCTTCTATCCTATTGTTTGTCAGGAATCATTTCTCCAAATGAGTTAGTGAGTTACAACTATAGAGGTTGTTAATTAACATTATCTTCACCATCAGGTCGATTTTGTAGAATGTTGACAGTGTTGCATTTCTTTTATGTACTTCACTTCCAAGAAAGCATTTTAAAAATTGAGACAGCATTTTGAACAGCACCTTGTCTTTAATGTTCGCCCTTAGTTTTGTGGGTCAAATCATGTAAGTACATCGTGGACACTGCTGAAAAAGGAAACTTTGGTAATGATTTTAAAAAATTGCTATTTTCAGTTTGGAATTCCTTCACCAGTACTGTGCCAATGTAACCAAAGGCAGTGGGGCTTCATTCAAGTCATGAACAAATCCTTGTAATAAAAATGAACAGCGTTTGCATTCTATTCAGCTGAATGTAACCTGCACATTTTCTACAGAGGCTGTGTATTCAAATTCTTCGGAATAAGTTTTTCTTTATACATATATATATTCATGTTGCATCAAAGCAGTTAGCGTGTAGAGAAATCAAACTTTTTACAGAAAAAGCAGAGCGCTGTTCCCCCTCCCCCCGTTGCTAACGCAGCATGTTCATTTACAGCCTGGGAGAAGGGGAATAGGGCAGTTTTGGCCATGAAACAGGAGCACGAAGAGCTTCAGTGGGAGGATGAGACACACGTATCATTGCTTCTCACGGGGAAAAGCCCACCTTATCTTCTGCAGAGGAGGCAAATTCCCCACGTGGTCGGGGCAGGGGCATCACGATACGCATTTGAGATAAAATAGGACAAATAGGAAGAGACCTTCTCTGAAACAAATGCAAAATGAAATAGCCTTATGAAAACAGAAGAAAATATCAAATCAAACACAGTTTACAGGCATGAAATTGATCACCGGATTGCTTGAATCCACAGGAGAGCTGTGAAAAAACATTCGTGGCTTTGAATTTCAATTCAGAATATCCCAATCCAGGACTGAGAACAGTCTCCCCTTTGACTGGTGTTTGTATCCCAGCTCTTTTGCCATACTAAGAGTATATGCAAAAGAAGGGGTGGGGTTTGTAAAAAGAAACAGGTTAATCATGTTTTCTCTAATCATGGGGATTCGACTCTTGCCTACATGAGAAGAGGGACTGAATTCTCTGCAAAGACACCAGTGTAAAAATCCATTTACGTGGGCGACCAAGAATGGCCCTGGGAATCTTTCAGGTGATATTTTGTAGGATGGAAAGCACAGACTGCACTTACAGCGTGTAGTCCTAAATGTAAAGAAATTAAATTATTTACTGCAAATCTGCAAATGAATGAGTTCTAAACGAGGAGATGAACAAGAATTCAGAGAATTAATGCAGAAACTTCGGTAACAAATACTCTAGAGCCACCCTGACCAGGGGCAGCTGTAATAAAGTCTCCAGGCTCTCTGGGGTCAAGGGCAGCTGAGCAACCTTCATAGAAGCTGCTAGAGCTTCCTCAGGCCCATGTCCATGTTGCTCCCCTTACCTCAAAGCAGCAGGTGCCCTCAAGCTTGGAGGCTACTAAGGTACCTACCAATCTTGAAAGCATACTGGAGTAGAACTAAGTCTTGGGCTGTTTTCACATACAGCTTGGAATTTCAATTTGCCTTTTTTTTTGAGATTTTGGAGAAAGTTGAGAATTTATTCATGTTGCAGGGCAGGGAACAGCAATTATTGCTCAACAGGTTTTGTGGATGTCACTAACCTAACGTAGTGTGAAAAAGAACTTCCTTCAAAAAGCCTACAAATATGCTCAAAATGTGCAGTTTCTATTTTAAATCCACAAGCATACTGGAAATAGTATCACAAGTTAAACAGAGAATATTAAAAATATAGACAAAACTTCAAACTTTCCTTGCTAAAATTTTCCTTAGCTGATCTATTTTCGCTGAATTTGGAGATTATTTTATGTATCAGTATTCATTAAATCCTGGAATGAGTAGCTTTTCTATTTTTGCCTTTTCAGGTCTTAATGGAGATGATTTCCTGGAGTTAGGCCTCCGTAATGGCAGAGTTGTGTATAGCTACAATCTAGGTTCTGGCACAGCAACAGTCATCAGTAAACCCCTTGATCTGACACTCGGTATTCATGTCATCCAGCTGGGCAGACACCTCCAAAAAGGCTGGCTGAAGGTAAGGTGTTATTTCCTTTATAGAATCATAGAATTGCCCAGGCCAGAAGGGACCTCCAAAGGCCATCTAGTCCGACCTCCCAACAGTCAGCAGGGACACCCCCAACTAGACCAGGTTGCCCAGGGCCTCATTGAGCCTCACCTTGAATATCTCCAGGGATGGGGCCTCAACCACCTCCCTGGGCAACCTGTTCCAGTGCTCCACCACCCTCACAGTGAAGAACCCTCTCCTCATCTCCACTCTAAATCTGTTCCCCTCCAGCTTGAAGCCATTGCCCCTCATCCTGTCACTGCAGGCCTTTGTAAACAGGCTC